GCGCACAGAGAGAAAGGGTTTCTATTGGTCTAAAAGCGAGGGCTCCACCGATTATGTAATTATATTCACTTTTGTGGCCTAGCTAGTACTATCCAATAGAAACCATGCGATCCTTACAGAATCTCACATACGAGAACACCAAATCAGGTGATCTAGCAACGGCCGAGGTCGGAGGGCGCGAAGGAGCGCCTAACCAATCAAAAGCTCCGAATTTCTTGACTCAGAGCGGTCGGACATTTTGGGTTAAGCGTTTTCTCGGAAACCCCAGAGACGAGTCACTGGCAATCTTCGGCGGTCAATTGGGACTCATTTTTCTTTACTTTCTAAACCACTCTCCCCTCTTCCTGGCTTGGCCGTCATTCACAATGATGCCTTTAAGACCTTCAAAAAGCGCACTGCGCGCATTCCACCTCCAGAAGCAGCTTGCTGGACGTCGACCTTTTTCGACCTCGTTTGTGGCTTCGGCCGCTTCGCCCCACCGCTCCTCCGTCCAGAAGCGTACTCAGAGCACAGCTACGGCTTCAAATCCGTGAGTTATTCCGGCCCTATGATCACGATGCAATTGTGGTATAGTTCTAATTTATTTAATCGTCAGGGAATCCAGACCCGTGCCCAGTCCGGCATTCAACCAGGAACCCCATCGCAATGAGATTTCTCCCTTGCAACACCGCCAGCTCCCCGAGCTCGATGACTCGTATGTTACCCTGATGACAGCTTCTATACACTGAAACTGATTAGCTGGTACAAAGAATGGTTGGAATGAGTGGTGGAGAGATCTTCCACGAGATGATGCTTCGCCAGGGTGTTAAGCACATCTGTGAGTATATCATGCTTAATATTGCTCAATTGGCCAATTCTAATCCTTGACGTTTGCAGTCGGTTACCCCGGTGGTGCCATTCTCCCCGTTTTCGATGCTATCTACAACTCCAAGCACTTCGAATTCATCCTTCCCAAGCATGAACAGGGTGCTGGTCACATGGCGGAGGGTTATGCCCGCGCCTCTGGCAAGCCAGGAGTCGTTCTCGTTACTTCTGGCCCTGGTGCTACCAACGTAATCACTCCCATGCAAGACGCTATGTCTGATGGTACCCCGATGGTTGTCTTCTGTGGTCAGGTTCCCACCAGCGCCATTGGAACCGATTCCTTCCAGGAAGCCGATGTGATCGGTATCTCCCGTGCCTGCACCAAGTGGAACGTGATGGTCAAGTCCGTTGGTGAGCTGCCTCGCCGCATCCAGGAAGCTTTCGAGATCGCCACGAGTGGTCGTCCCGGTCCCGTCCTGGTTGACCTGCCCAAGGATGTCACTGCTGGCATTCTCCGCAACCCCATTCCCATGCACAGCACCATCCCTTCGCTCCCCAGCGCAGCTACCGTGGCAGCCCGCGAAATGAGCCGGAAGCAGCTCGAGAGCACCATTAACCGTGTTGCTAACCTCGTTAACGTTGCTAAGAAGCCTATCCTCTACGTCGGACAGGGTCTTCTTGCTCGCCCAGATGGCCCGGAGATCCTCAAGGAGTTCGCCGATAAGGCATGCATCCCGGTCACCACCACCCTACAGGGTCTTGGCGGATTCGACGAGTTGGATCCTAAGGCTCTCCACATGCTGGGTATGCACGGATCCGCTTACGCCAACATGGCTATGCAGGAGGCCGATCTGATAATTGCTGTTGGCGCCCGTTTCGATGACCGTGTGACTCTTAGCATCCCCAAGTTCGCTCCTCAAGCCAAGCTTGCCGCTACTGAAGGCCGCGGTGGTATCGTGCATTTCGAGATCATGCCTAAGAACATCAACAAGGTTGTCCAGGCTAACGAGGCAGTGGAGGGTGACTGTGCCGACAACCTCCGTCTTCTTTTGCCCCATGTCAAGGCTGTTTCTGAGCGTCCCGAGTGGTTCGAGCAGATCAACGACTGGAAGCAGCGCTTCCCCCTGTCGCTCTACGACCGCCAGACCGATGACGGTCCTATCAAGCCCCAGGCTGTTATCGAGAAGCTTAGCGAACTCACTGCTGACCGGAAGGAAAAGACGATCATCACGACCGGTGTCGGACAGCACCAGATGTGGACTGCCCAGCACTTCCGCTGGCGTCACCCTCGTACCATGATCACCTCTGGTGGTCTCGGTACTATGGGCTTCGGTCTCCCCGCGGCTCTTGGAGCCAAGGTAGCCCGTCCCGACTGCCTCGTCATCGACATTGATGGTGATGCTTCTTTCAACATGACTCTCACTGAGCTTTCCACCGCTGCTCAGTTCGACATTGGTGTCAAGGTCCTCCTGATCAACAATGAGGAGCAGGGCATGGTTACTCAATGGTAAGCTGTCGTCTCTGATCTTCCGGGTATATTTGACTTACTTTTTCTGTTCCAGGCAAAACCTCTTCTACGAGGATCGGTACTCCCACACTCACCAGCAGAACCCCGACTTCGTTCCCCTTGCTAAGGCTATGCGCGTCGGCGCCGATACGTGCTTCAAGCCCTCCGAGCTTGAGGAGAAGCTGAAGTGGCTGATTGAGCACGATGGCCCTGCCCTCCTGGAGGTCATCACTGACCGCAAGGTGCCTGTTCTTCCCATGGTGCCTTCTGGCCGTGGTCTGCACGAGTTCTTGGTCTACGATGAAGGTATGCAAACCCCTGGCTAGTGATTGAATGACTGGAAACACCACTAACTCATTTATTACAGCCAAGGATCTGGAGCGCAAGGAGCTGATGCGCGAGCGTAATGTGGACTTCAGTGTCCGGAAAGAATAGGTGACTTGCCAATGTCACCTCGACAATCATATTTCTGTATTTGATATCCATGGCGTTTCTTGGCTGGTTCACCAAAAGCGATTGAGGCAATATCTGTCTAAAGATAAACAACGAATTCGTTAACCAGATTGCTCTTGGAGGTCTCTTTGGCAGAGAAGTTTGGTGCTGGCGGGCTCTATTTGCCTGCTGGGCTTTGGCCTTCGCCATATCCTTGAAACAAGAATGGGGATTGCATGAAACACGGGCTTCACCACGGTCTTTGATCGATGTTGGCCTTTTCTCTTGCCAAGTTGCTCCTCTTGTATATAATCATCGACGTCTCGGGTTCCTCGATGGGACTTGGGAGATTGATACGTTCGGGTTCATTTAATAGGAGCAGTTAGTCATTGAAAGCATTTATCTCTTGTTTATTCCGCGTTCATAAGCACTTCCTCGTATGTTCATCTTAGATGGCTTTGATCTTTGTTGGCTAACAATGTACGTAGCTGCGGCCCTGGAGGACTTACGGCCGACTTGCGTTCCGTCATAATCCAAATGTGAGATCACCTACCTAAAGAGGTAAGTAGCCAGAAAGCAGAGGGTTAGCCCCTTGGATAGGTAGTAAATGCAGGAGTTCTCGCTATTGCTTTGCCCGGTTCAATAGACATATCAAATAAGCAGCCAAAAACAAAGAGCCCAGGCCGATATGCCTAAAGGATGGCAACGAAAGAAGCTCGCGAGATGCCAGAGCAAAATTATGTAAATGGGCGACTACACCTTGGCACCTGACAACTTTGAAAATGATATGCTTTTCTTTCCTTCTCCTTCACCCTCCTGCTTTCTATCATGTTCTTTCATACGCTTTAGGGCTTGCATGTCCCGCAGCAAACAACGATTGCAAAGCAGTACGTTGCATTCCTTTTAGCCTCCTTGACCTCCACAAGTCACATCTTCTTGTGATACCACCCAGCTACGATCTTCCTCTTGAGCATCTTGTTTCTACCGAGCACTTGACCAGGAAATGACACCAGATCATGGACTCCCAAAGGTATGATTTTAGATCTCTCTTACTTTTGCAACATATGGCAATCGATTTGAGAGATATCTGAATACGTTTGGAAACCCTTCTGAGTAATCTGTGGAAGATGCTAATCGATAACCTATAAAGGATGTGCCGTGACTTCGCCAGAGGCAAATGCCAATGGAGAAATTGCAAATTTTCTCATGTGAGCAATGGCCAGAGCCGCAGTCCGAAAATCCCAACCAGCCAGATGCAATGCCCTGAGCCCTGGCCCCGACGGGATCATGGCTTGCCGAATGCAGAAAAAGCGTTTCGAGCATGGCAAAGCAGCATTCCTCTACGCACGGCGGTCATTCGTCCCTCCTCTGGGAAGAAAACGACTATCTTCCGGAAAGCGAGGGAACTGATTGGATCTGACGCCAGTACACGACAAGAAGTCATCCGGACATTGGCGAGTGAGGATGGCCTGCGCCTAATCTTGGACCTTGTCCAGGAAAATTTCGAAGGCATGGATGCCGCAACGAGAGACCTAATTTTCAAGACTCAGGTGCTACCATTTCTAGAGACAGTCTCAAATACTGATGTCATATCGTCTCTAGTATTGGAGCAGGCAGTGGGGACAATCTACAATGTCTTGTTTGGAATCGACGGATCCAGAGCAGCGCGATGGCTCAATCTCATCTGTGGCGTTCTCGAAATCGACACCACCAACGAAGGCAGTGCCATGTTACTGGAGGCATCTCTACACACGTTCTCCCGTATCGCGGACCTGAATTCTACGGCCCCTATCCAGGACTGCCTGCATGCTGTGGCACAGAGATTTGAAACTGTACTCACCTCAATGAGTAGCAAGAATTGCATGAGCGGTAGACTTTATCAATCTCGGCTGCACCTTGATCGTCTTCTTCAGCGCATGGAGACTGGAAAGTCGCTCCCCCCCGGTATGCCAGAGAAGAAAGTGAAGAATGAAAGCAATGTCGCTTTCGTCGCCAACCGCGAGACTCCCGGGGGCAGACACAATAATGATTTTGTCGACATCTGCCAGATTAAGATCATGCCTAGCTTTGAAGAAATCTGCAGCCTTGGAGGGGAGTACTTGCCCGTAAATAACCCACTTCAATGGCATATTCATGGTATCGACGGGTTGCTAGATCGAAACTTTCGCTTGCTACGAGAAGACACCGTCGGGCAACTTCGAGATGCAATCCACCACGAACTGAGTCCGCGCGCCCAGCAACCACAACTGCGAAGATTCGTACATCCTAAGTGCTTCGTGGTCAATCTCGAGTTCAATTGGCTTTCGGGTCTTTACTTCGAAGTTGACTTCCCTCAGCCTGCTGGAGTAACAAACTTCACGCCCATGGCCCGAGAGATGTGGTGGCAGAACTCAAAACGCCTACAGCCCGGTGCGCTTGTGTGTCTAATCATTCAAAAGGACGTGGTGCTCTTTTGCACCGTGACGCATCGTGAAATGTCCCCCAGACGCAAAAAGGATAATTTCCTCCCACAGGATCACATCCCCCCACAGAACAAGGCAGAGTCAAGAACATTATGGAAGAGCTCCACAAGAGGCTCGGTTATGTTGATGCCGGTTGATTCTCGTTACACCAACACTCAAGTCATTCTGGACCTTTTTACTCCCAAGAAGCCCACTATGTCTCTGGTGGAGTTTCCAGGAGTCATCCTTCCAGCATTTGAACCGGCTTTACAAGCACTTCAATCGATGAAGGTGGCCCAAAACCTACCTTTTGCAGAGCTCTTTGTTCCGTGGGTCTTTGATGATTTCAACATATCCGACATGGCTCCTGCATTGTATGCTTCGCAGCCTGGCTTTGCATTCAATCTCCGCTGCCTCATGAAGAATGATACTAATTTCTACGTGCGCGTTGATCAACCATCTGATGTGAAATACGTACAGGATCATTCAACCCTGGATGGTGCACAGGCTCATGCATTGATCAGTTGCTTGAAGCGAAAGCTCGGTTTGATCCAAGGGCCACCTGGTACCGGCAAGAGCTACACTGGTGTGGCTCTTGTCAAAGTCTTACTGGCAAACAAAGAAGCTACCAGAGGAAGACTAGGGCCCATATTATGTGTCACGTATACCAATCATGCTCTCGACCAGCTTCTTGAGGCTTTACTGGACAACAACGTGACATCGCAAATTGTTCGTATTGGATCCCAGTCCAAGTCGGAGAGGTTGGAAAAATTCAACCTTCAGACTGTTGCAAAAGATACAACAAGGACAAAGATGGAGAAGAAAGAAAGATGGAGCACAGCTGAGAGACTCTCACTGTGTGAGGATGATTTTCATGCCCTTGATCTGAAAAGGGAAGTCCCCATTTCTCGTCTCAAGTCCCATATCCAGCGGACAAACCCTATCCATCACGATCAGCTATTTTCACTGGTCCAAGAAGATGGTCTCTTGGGAGTGAAAACCGACAACCCTCAGACCGCGATCAAGTCTTGGCTTCATTCGGGAGCTAAAGACAGTGCTCGTGTACGGCCTGAGGACCAACTCAAGGACATCAGCGTCTTCGAAATGTCTCGAAAAGAACGACAGCATCTTTACAACCGGTGGTGTCGTGAATACCGGGCAGAAGTGGACGAAGCAGTTAAGCAAATCACTTCATCTCACAGGGCTGCCAAACAGGGGTACGATAGCGTCCAGGATGAGATGCACCTTCGCTGCCTGGCCCAAGCAGATGTTATTGGCGCAACTACAGCAGGGCTTGCTCGCAGACTGGATACGTTCCGAAGACTTCCATGCAAGTTCATGCTGTGCGAAGAAGCCGGTGAAGTTCTTGAATCACATATCCTCACAGCCTTCATCCCGTCTGTTGAGCATGCAATCCTCATCGGTGATCAGCAACAGCTCCGCCCTCAGGTCCAAAATTACGATCTTTCTAGCGAGAATCCTCGGGGTGGTACGCAGTACTCACTCGATATCTCCTTGTTTGAAAGATTGGTGAGTTCAAACAAAAGCCCCATGGACTGTGGAGCTCCTTTCAGTACATTGGAAACACAGCGGCGAATGCACCCATCTATCGCTCGGCTGGTCCGTGAAACCCTGTATCCAAAGATGAAGGATGCTCCATCTGTTTCGGAGTATCCGGACATTACGGGGATGCGGAAAAGATTATTCTGGTTGGATCACCCACAGCGAGAGGGAGGATCCGACGCCGATGCCATGTCAACCTCTCACTGGAACAGCCACGAGATCGATATGACTGTTTTGCTGGTCAATCATCTTATTCAACAAGGTGCATACAAGCACGGTGACATTGCAGTGTTGACTCCATATCTGGGCCAACTCCACCGACTACAAAGAAGGCTCGACGAACTCTTTGCCATTGTAGTAGGGGACCGTGATCGAGAGGATCTCAAGCAGGCGGGTTATGTGGATTATGAAGTGAAAGACAAACCTATGATCAAAGCAGCCTTGTCACAGAGTCTGCGCGTGGCTACCGTGGACAACTTCCAAGGCGAAGAAGCTAAAGTTGTTGTGATATCTCTAGTCCGAAGCAACCCACAGAACAAATGCGGCTTTCTACGCACGTCAAATCGAATCAATGTTCTGTTGTCGCGAGCACAACACGGGATGTACATCATCGGCAATTCCGAGACCTCGATCCATGTTCCCATGTGGGCTCAAGTCATAAAGATTATGAAGCAAGATCAAAATATCGGAAAGGCCTTGGAGCTGCAATGCCCTCGCCATCCAGACACACCGATTGCGGTTTCGATGCCAGAAGACTTTCCAAAGTTCTCTCCGGAAGGAGGTTGCAACTTGCGCTGTGTCAACCGGCTTGGTTGTGGACATGCCTGCGCTCAAAAGTGCCATTCGGATCTTCTTCACAACGCTGTCTTTTGCCTAGAGCGCTGCCCCAGACCATTTAATGGCTGTAACCATTCGTGCCCTAAGCGATGCGGAGACGCTTGCCCGGAAAGGTGCATGGTCAACGTGTATCAAAAGCACAGAAAACTCCCATGCGGTCATCCAATGCCAAACCTTCCCTGTTGGCAGGACCAAGATATCTCGACAGTTCGCTGTCTGGTGCATGTGGACAAGACGATCCTGGGCTGCGATCATATCGTCTCACTGCCATGCCACATCAAGGTGGAAGCCAAAGACTATCGCTGCACAGCTCAATGTCGCAGCCCACTGCCTTGTGGACACCTGTGCAAGAAGATGTGTTATCGCTGCATCACTAGAGGACCTGAGAGCGTTCTAGCCAATCACGGAAAGTGCGAACAACGGTGTGATCGGAATCAATCTACATGCGCTCATACCTGCAGCGTTCCCTGTCACGGCGAGAAGCCCTGTCCTCCATGCAAAGCTCCTTGCGAAGTGCATTGTGGCCATTCCAAGTGTCCGCGAAAATGCTACGAGCCGTGTACTCCTTGCGCAGAAGAAAAATGTCTTTCAGCGTGCCCTCACAGCGTCTGCTCAATGCCATGTGCAGCCCCTTGTGATCATGTTCCATGTTCCAAACGATGCAAGAAGAAGTTAAATTGTGGGCATCAGTGCCCATCGGTATGTGGAGAAAAATGTCCTTCGTCCTCCTTTTGCCAAACCTGCGGAAATGAGGACGTCCGAAATCATCAAGTCGACTTCATCCTGGGTCAAACGTACAAAGAAATCAACCTGGAAGAAAACCCATGCGTAGTCCCCAAATGTGGGCACTTCTTGACTATTGAGAACATGGATGCGCAAATGGATATGGCTAGCTACTACGAGGTCGATGCCAGTGGCAAGCCCGTCTCTATCTGGGTATCATTGAGACCGTTCTCTATTCAAGATATCAAAACATGCGCCACCTGTCGTGGCCCGTTGAGAGATATTGCCCGATATGGCCGGCTGGTTCGCCGAGCTATTCTTGATGAGTCGACGAAAAAATTGATCATCTCACTCAACCAGGAATATGTCCCTCTTGCACAGGAACTTCCCCAACTTGTTCATGGATTACATGCAACCAAAGGCCAAAGAAAGTATCCATGGCCAGCATTGATTGAAATCTCTGGTCCGCGGAGCCATCAAATTCAGATCATGGAAGGAATCATCCAGAGCACGAATCCAGGTCGATGGGATTCTATCCTTGACCTGCGAAAGCGCGTCGATCTCTATCGGCGCCGTGTGAAGCCCGAAGAGCAACCGTTTGAAAGAGTTCGGAGGATGATTGAAAACGCTCGACAACGCCAAAAAATAGGAATCAACCCTGATCATATCGAAAATGTGCTACAGGCCAAAGGCTTCCTACAGGGCACCGCCCTCTTACTCCGTCTGGACATTGCTCTGCTCGTTGACCTTTTGAATCTTGTTTCCCAAGGATGCCCAAGCGAGGTAACACCTCGATTCGAGCTTGATCTACAGAAAATTAAGGATGATTGCCAGACCCTCATTAACCAAGCGGTCACTCACCATCGACTCCTACAGCAGGTAGAAGGTCATATTTTCCTAGCACAGCTCTATGCCCTCGAACGGGCACATTGCTTGACACCAGAGAAGAGGAACACTATCTTGAAACATGGCCAAGTTGCCATTCAGAAAGCTAAAGGTCTTTGCGATGCACACCCCGGTCAGACACGAGGCTTGGCAGATGAAGTTAAGAGCGTCGAGAAAATGTTGCCACATTCTACACAATTATCACCAACGAGGAACGCATCGCAGTCATTTCGGCGATGGCTCAAGAGTTCAGAGGAACTGGGCATTGGTACTACTGCCGCAACGGGCATCCGTTTACCATTGGGGCCTGTGGACTAGCCAGGGAGACGAGTCGCTGCCCCGAGTGTGATTCCCCGGTGGGAGGCGAGCATTCTCAATTGGCGGAGGGAGTTAGACTGGCGCAGGACTGGGATCAGGATAGGGAGAGATTGAATCTCTAGGGGAGAGAGATGCTCATTCTTTGTGATCAGGCAACCCAATTTGCTGCCGTACGTCAGGTAATAAAAAAGGTCAATTTTTCTACCTCGATAGCATTTGAAAGGTACAGGGATATAGAAGTAGAAAGCATTTGAAGCTGTATAATGAAAGCCCTGGCAATATAACAGGTGGAATGTTATGAGGAGTCGCTATCTGCTGCTGTACGGAGGCCACGGGTGACGTCTCGGGGAGTCTCAAGGTGTCACGCCCAAGCTTATCCTCCACTCAACCTCCTTCCGCTCTTCCCCCCCACCATTATTCCCACCTTAGTTGTTGTCCTATGAATTGAACCCCACAATCTCTCGCTAGCTCGTTGTATTTGCATTGCATGTTTCACCCTGCTCTCCTCCTAGCTTCCGCCCCTCACCCGTTCCATGATGGCTAGCCCACCACCCGTCACCGAGGACCAGAACCGCCTCCTCGAGGAGGCATTGGGGGTGGTGAGGCAGCAGTCGAGTCTGATGCGCAAATGCCTAGAGACTCCTGGAAAGCTCATGGATGCGTTGAAATGCGGGTGAGCTCCCCAATGAAACTGCCCAGGCAGCGACCTCGGACGTGCGCATTGAGTTCGTATGCTAACAGCTTGAAACCTACCTCTACAGATCGACTCTTGTCTCCGAACTACGAACCCCCAGTCTCGGCCCCAAGCAGTATTACGAATTGTATATGGCCGTCTTTGATGCGCTGCGACACCTTTCCGTCTACCTAAAGGAGAACCACCCCGTCAACCATCTTGCCGACCTATACGAGCTCGTTCAGTATGCCGGCAATATCGTCCCCCGATTGTACTTGATGATCACCGTCGGTACGGTTTACATGTCCGTCGAAGATGCGCCGGTCAAGGAGATCATGAAGGATATGATGGAGATGAGCCGAGGCGTTCAGCACCCAATCCGTGGCCTGTTCTTGCGATACTACCTCTCCGGCCAAGCACGGGATTATTTGCCCTCTGGAACCGGTGATGGCCCAGAGGGTAATATGCAGGATTCGATCAGCTTTGTTTTGACGAATTTCGTGGAAATGAACAAGCTCTGGGTTCGGCTTCAGCACCAGGGCCCCTCACGAGAGCGGGATAGACGCATACAAGAACGACGCGAACTGGAGCTGCTCGTCGGTAGCAACATTGTTCGACTCAGCCAGTTGGTTGATCTTGAAGGATACAAATCCGGTATTTTGCAAGCTCTTCTGGAACAGGTTGTACAATGCCGAGATGTCCTTGCGCAAGAATATCTCCTGGAAGGTACGGCTATCTGGTTTCTTATTTGTCGGAATATACTCTTGCTGGGTCCGTTTGCTAATCCGATCAACAGTTATCACAAAGGTCTTCCCAGATGAGTTCCACCTGCACACCCTGGACCTTCTATTATCTGCCATCGCCAGACTTAACCCGCACGTGGATCTGAAGAAAATCGTCATTGGTCTTATGGACCGTTTGTCTTCTTATGCGGCAAGGGAAGCGGACTCAGCAGTGGAGCCGGAAGCACGGAAGCAAAGCGAGGAAGAAGCTGTCACCAAGCTATTGCAAAAGCTTGAGCTTGCCAAAGAAACCAAAACTGAAGAGCCAAAGGACACCGGCGCCGATGAGATTTCCAAGGAAAACGGTACCGAGAATGGCGAAGCAGAAACACGCAAAGAAAGCCCCGAGCCTGCTGAAGCGCCAACGAAAGAAAAGCAGGTTGGGAATGGAGACGAGCCTAAGCCTGGTATTCCAGCAGAAATCAAGCTGTACGATATCTTCTACGACCAAGTGGTCAATTTGATCAGAACGCGTGCATTGCCGATTCAAGATACCATGGCGCTGTTGGTATCACTTGTTAATCTGGCGTTGAATACCTATCCAGATCGGTTGGAATATGTCGACCAAGTCCTGGACTTTGCGACGCAGAAAACTGCTGAATACACCGATCATGCCGATTTGCATTCGGCGTTAACCCAACAACACATCCTCCACCTTCTCAATGCTCCTCTCAAATCTTACATCTCGATATTCACAGCCTTGGCATTGCCACATTACCTGCCACTACTGACCTCACAGTCATACCCCACAAGGAGGGCTGTAGCGGGCGAGGTTATTCGCAGTCTCTTGAAAAACAAGATCTTGGTATCCACAACGGAAAACCTCGATCGCGTGCTCCAGGTGGCAAGAGTATTGATCAAGGAAGGCATGCAGCAGTCTGCTGGATATCCCGGGTCACAGTCCCAACGGCGGGGAGGAGAAACTGACGAGACGGTAGAAGAGCAAGGGTGGCTTGCGAGACTCGTACACTTGATTCAGGCATCGGACAATGACACCCAGCTAAAGGTAGGATCATTTGCCAGATGTTTCATACCTATAACTAACAGCCTGTGATAGCTTCTTCAAGCAACGCGCAAGGCATTCGCCGATGGTAACGAACGAATCCGCTATACCACTCCTGCAATCATAACGGCCTCGATCCGATTGGCCCGCAAACTGAAGTCGCGCGAGCATTACGACGACAATTGGCAATCACAGTCGTCGGCTCTATACCGATTCATGCACCAGAGCATCAACAATTTGTACCAGCGCGTAAATCCAGGTTGCGCCGATCTCGCACTGCGACTGTTCGTCATGTGTGGCGAGGTTGCCGATCAAACAGGATTTGAGGAAGTCAGCTATGAGTTCTTCGCGCAGGCCTTCACCATTTATGAAGATGCCATCAGTGACTCGCGCGCCCAGTTCCAGGCCGTCTGCATTATTTCAGGCGCCCTACATGGGAGTCGGGGATTCTCTAAGGAGAACTATGACACACTCATCACCAAAGCTGCGCTGCACGGAAGCAAACTCCTCAAAAAGCCCGATCAATGCCGCGCGGTGTACCTCGCAAGTCACCTCTGGTGGGTAATTGAGAACCCTCAGCGCGGAGAAGAGGATCCCAAAGATGTAAGCTTTCTCTCCGATTCCAATGTCTTAGTATCTCTTAACTGACGTCAACTTTGTAGCTCTACCGCGACGGCAAACGAGTCCTCGAGTGCCTCCAGCGCGCCCTCCGTGTGGCCGACGCCTGCATGGACACCGCTGTCTCCGTCGAGCTCTTTGTGGAAATCCTCAACCGCTATGTCTACTATTTCGACCAGCAGAACGAGACCGTCACTACCAAGTACCTGAACGGCCTCATCGAACTCATCCACTCCAACCTGCAGACCAACGAAGATGAGCAAAATGCTAATCTTGACGCCCCGAAGCGCCACTTCGAACGCACGCTGGAGTATATTCGCTCTCGCGAATACGAAGGCATTGTGACAGATCCACCAAAGTAATTGCCAAATGGATTTCTAGGCCATTTTGATCAGGACACACATCTCCCGGTTATCTTCAAGGAGCACTGTATGTGATGTGCCACGTGGGATTCCTGTTATTGATCCTCCTGGCAAGATTTGTTTTTCTGCTCTACACTATTTCCTTGGTCTCTTTTGTCTTTCTCTTGTTCCTGGAAGCCTGCCTTTTTTTTCCTCTTGCTGCTCCGGTTTTCTTTCATTCCTAGTATATACAAGTGTATCATTGTCTCCGTATAACACCATACCCTTTCAACGTGATTTGTATCGGCCATGGACAACTCTTTTTTCCCTTTTTGTAGAACAAACAAGCACCTGGATAGCCCAAGAGGTCGGTCGGTTAATCATAGAAAATATGATCACATCCTCAGGGAGCCAGGCCGAATATCCTCTACAGCATATATATATATAAACTCTATCCGCATAGCACGTGATGACCAAGGATGCAGCGCTACGTTACCAAGTTCTACACAAAAAGCCAACAAGCGAAAGCCGAAGAAACCTTCGATCATGCAATTGGTCAAACGATGACGGAGTGGGAGACTAACCCTATCTCCACGGATATCGCTGCATAATGTAGAAAGGCCAGAGACTCATACCGTACATAAAACAAATCCGGATGCTATACTTAAAAAAGTAAAGCATTCAAACACATTGGAAAAATACCAAGCAAATAAACAACCCATATCAATAGCAGTGACTCTTTCGAGTAGAAAGATGTAGACAGATGTGTGAGTATGACGTTAATCCATGACGCTTCAATAGAGGACGAAAAAAAAAAAAGGAAATGAAAAAGAAATAGATGAGGGCATTTCAAAAGTCGTTCCAGCAAGAGGGCGGGAAAGGAGGCCGAGAAGAAGATTCATTCCAAGCCGGTTGGCATCAAATCAGGATCAGGATAGAGAAGTCCCACCGAATAAGCCAGTCGGAGGCGAAGCATACTGCCGCAGCACGGAGGGTCCACCAAATCCGCTGAAAGGGGCTGGGTGGCTGTTACTAGGGACCGGGCTGCCAATATCACCAGGCACAATGCTACCCCGATGACCGGAGACCGCGCTGTTGGGATCGGGCTCGAATCGAACAGACTTGCCACTCGGGTCTTCCTTGATAGAGAATGATCCGCCGCCATTCTGTGGACTGCCTTCTGTATCGCAGATATCGAGCATTTCATCCAAAGAGATCGATGGCTCGCCTGAGTTGCGCAGCTGCTCCACCTGACCGAGAACAAGGTTCACATCATGGAAGCTCCCAGCACCTTTCCGCGGGCTGGTCATCGAGTTCAGCTGCTTGCATGCTTGGATGACCAACAGGCGGATTGTGACGGGCCGAGAAGTGTGGGGCCGATGATGACCACCCGCTGCGAAGGCATTATTGGGAGGCCAACCAGTTCCGGCAGGGGCGGGTCCCCATGTGGAAGGGAAGACAGAACCTCCGAAAGGCCCGGCACCCCATGTAGTGCTGCCCATTGGAGAAACAACCGCGAAGTTATTCTGCGGGGATCCTAGAGGATCCGAGAACAAGGACGATCCTTGGAAGCTTGCTCGCGT